TTAGGGTGACCCATTTTAGTGCTAGGTCAGAGGACCCCTGGATGCTCTATATTTTGATTTATAAGATTTTTCAGGCCGGGTGTTGCTAGCAAGAGGTCAAAAAGGAGTTGAAATTGTTGGCGCTCGAGTGGTGCCTTGGGCTGTCTGACCCCAGCGGGGCTCACGGGCTGCAGGGGCTCACCAGCCTCCAGCAAAACTCCTGCCCTACCGTATCACGTATTGCACTGCTTAAAATCATCAAAATTCGTTACAGGGTCGTCAAGAAATGTTATAACTCATTGCACTGGTGATATCAGATCTGTTGCCTGTCTTAATCCTGACACCATTAAGAAGTATTGACCAGGCTTTACAATAAAGGTCCAAGATACAGTAAATTCTGCAGGATCTTGGCTGGCGGAAAGGTATTTTTTGTTTTTCCAGTAAAAAGTATTTCTGAATTAGACTCACAAACCGGCAGCGTTGATTCTGTGGCAGCGCTGGCACGGTGTGAGGGGGGCCCAAAATGCAGCTGGGTGACGGGGTGCAGCTGTTGGAGCGGTGGCAGAGCTGGCTGTGCCCATCACCGTGGCCTCCCAGCACCATCTACACCCCCTGAGGAAGCAGTAAAGGCAGCCCATCAGTGGTGAAACACCTCTGGCAACAGGTAGGAGCCTTCTGACTTTAAATTGTTTCATACAGATCTGTGTGAGTCTGTCCGTAAGTGTCACAGAATCATAGAATGGTTTGGGTTGGAAGGGACCTTAAGGTCATTCAGTCCCAACCCCCTGCCCTTGGCAGGGACACCTCCCACCAGACCACGTTGCTCCAAGCCCCCTCCAACCTGGCCTTGAACCCCTCCAGGGATGGGGCAGCCACAGCTTCTCTGGGCAACCTGGGCCAGGATCTCACCACCAAAGAACAAAGAAGTTCTTCCCCAGATCTCATCTCCATCTCCCTTGTTTCAGTGTCAAACCCTTCCTCCTCCTCCTATGGTTCCCCTCCCTGATCCAGAGTCCCTCCCCATCTTTCCTGGAGCCCCTTGAGGGACTGGAAGGGGCTCTAAGGTCTCCCTGGAGCCTTCTCTTCCCCAGGCTTGAACCCTCCCACCTCTCTCAGCCTGTCCTCCCAGCAGAGGGGCTCCAGCCACCAGCCTCTGGTCCTTCCTTGAGCCCTCTCCCATCTCTCCCCTTCCCTGGAATGGCTCCAGCCTGCCATGGAGCAGGTGGCTCCATCACCCCAGCGCCGAGCATGGAGG